AGGATACACCCTCCAGCGAACACCTTTTCCATAAACGCAGACATTAGAACAAAAGTCAGGCTGTCAAAGTATAAAGGTATAATGATATAGGGATATTTATACAATAAATAAAACTGTTTATATTTGTGTAGGCGTACACAGGCATAAAGTATTTAGCAATTATAACAAACAGCACAACAGATATCAAAACATTAACAACAGCCTTCTCATTCAAAGATGAATATTCCTTCCCAAATCTACTTGGACTTTTTTTCCTGGATGTTTAATTAGATTTTTACCAATCACCAATTTAACCTATCAATTTAACCAGTAAAACAATTCCAAAATCTAAAGAAAACGACTTCCATTCTATATATTTCCTGCACCTCCAATACAAGAAATATTATTGTATGTGAGGCATCCTGGTGAAATCAGGCGCTCGTCAAAATAGTGAATTCTGAATAAAATTAGCATTTTTCGGGCAGTTTGGAAATTTTTTAGAATTCTTGTTTTTGGCTCAATACCTTGTATGTCTATTCAAAAACAACTTTATGCGTGGATTTTACGGAAAAAGGCACAACAAATTTAAATTTGCAGTTTCAAGGTCTCTTAATATAGGGAATTCACTAAACTTTGACGCCTATTTTCTCGCAAATTTTACCTCTGAAATCAGTCAACCCCACCTGCCTCAATCACAAATATGTCGACTTCTATTCAAGATAAATGGACATTTATTAGGTTTTTCATCAAAAGCAAGGCAAATGAACTGCCTTTAAGATAACACCAATAACTCCATACGCCCAAAAATTTACGAGCGCCTGATTCCACTGCGTTGTGACACATATATGAATCAGTTTGAAATAAAATGAAAGCAAGATCTTATTCTCATGTCTGTCTGCCATCTCTTTGTCACTACAATTTTATAATCATTCTGTTTCTTATTCCTCATTGTATGATTTTATTATTGTTATTATTGTAGCTACGAGTAAAAATCTGAGCAAAAAAAGACTTGAGTACAGAAAATCCAGCGTGCACACACTCATATAAACACACGGCGACGCCCACCCACACAAACACACACACATTGAGCCCTTATTAAACCTGTATGTAAAAATTTGCACTTGGGTAACAAAACTTTTGAAGAATACTTTTTATTGAATTACGATCAATTTTCGAAGAACATGTAGTATGCTAACATTCATATATGAAAATTGTTCCTTTCTGTGTCACATTTTATCAGTTTTATTTTGTCATTGTTGTCTCAAATACAAATCTTGTCAACAACCAGGTCAGGGGTACACAGAATTTGTTTCCTCAACACTGCTCCCAAAGTAATAAACTGAACATTATTTACACATCACATATTTTATTTAGAACCAGAGGGGGAAATACTTTAATTTACGCTCATCAAAGTCAAATCCTTTCCATTAACATTGGCAAATATTGTTGCTTTCATTTGAAGCCTCTTTAATTACCTGAGCATTACAAAAGAAGCCTCAGCGTATGTCAACAGCTTTCTGGAATATAACCCCTTCCTTTGTTCACGCAGACACACACAGACACACACACACACACAGACACACACACACACACACACACACACACACACACACACACACACACACAAAAAAAACCATGCATACACACGTGTGCGTTTACACACATAAACACATGCATGAACACACAGGAAAGAAGAATCAAGGGCTAGCTTTTTTCAAACTGCTATGAAAGACTTATGCTGATTTATAAAGCAACAGGTAGAATCAAACTCAGTAATTACCCCAGCACACAAAAGTGTTGGTAGCTCGTCATTACTTTGAATAAATAATAACAATATCAGAACTATAAACAAATATTATAAATGGCAACTTTTAATTAAATAAAGAAGCAATATATGTCAAACTCCTTTGCTACTGTGCATTTATAAAACTGTTTATAATTTGTGAACTGAGACTTGAAGTTGAAGTGTATATTGGAGGCAGCACACAAAAAGGTGTCAACAAACAAAATAAACAATAAAGAAAAGAAATTTCCTTTCTCAGAAACATAATAAATCATCAATAAAAGTGAACCATATAAATAACAATGAAATGCTTTCATGAGTAACACTAACAGCACATATTAACTATTAACACTGACAGCAAGTTTGAGCCTGTAATTACTGTGAGCAAACAAAAATTGAGACACGTTTTCAAAATTCATGATTTTCATTTCCATTAAAATTGATCCGAAAGTTAATCTTTTGCTTAGGAAATAGTGTAACTTCATTTGCAGATTCAAACTGCAGGGTACTCCATCAAGCCTCTAGTAAAACTATAAACACAAGGACAAATATTGTTGTTGTTGTTTTCAAATCCCTCAAATAACCACATGCCCTTGTTATCTGGTCAACGCCAGAGTAGAGCAGGCTTTGCAAGTCTGTATGTTTGTAGGAACTTGTGTCGAAGAACTACCAGGTTTGGGCAGTGAAGGAGATGTTCAACAGTCTCCTCGTGGTAGTCACAGTGTCTGCAATGGGGTTCCCACAAGGGGTTGATTCTGTTTATGTGCTTGTTGGTGTGTAAGTGTCTTGTGCGGGCTCTGAAGATCAATGTCTGATCAGCTCTACATAAAAGATTCGAAGGGTCTTTGAGGTTGGGTTTGTCCATGTACCCGAAGAGAGATCTTCCTGTTTCTGCGTTGGCCCATGTATTTAGCCACTCGTCTCTGCTTTTGGCTTGGAAGATCCCTCTGCAGGTCTGTAAAGAGGCGGTTGTGTCTGTCTGGGGCAGACTCGCTCCAGTCTTTACTTAGTAGTAGTACAGGGTTTTACGGCGCTCGCAACTGCATAAGGTCATACGAGCGCGCGAAACACAAGTTGGTAGCATTCGCAATAGTTCACTGCACGGTTGGTCGAAAATTAGACTTTAAAATGCTAAAATACTAAAATTTTGTGTAAATATATTTGCGATTTAAAACAACTCTTATAAATAACAATAAATATTTTTCAACCATATTGTTTTGCTTTACAATTTGCCATAAAGGCCAATGGCCTTCATAAAATTCAAAATTCTGCTGGGACCAACGCCGGAAAAAATGTCTTGCAATTTCTTGCATTTATAATATTTCCTTCGGATCTCTCCAAAGTCTAGACATTCGATTAAGGTGTGTCTAAAGGTAAAATCTGTGTTGTATCCGAAAAAGAACGGCTTCTCATCTCCCTGTAGGAGGTATTTGTGGGTCAGGGCCGTGTGTCCGATGTGCAATCGAGTAAAAATGACTTCATCTCTTCTGGAGAGGTCCGAAGGATTTCACTGTTCTAGTTTGGGTTTTATAATATTCAGTTTATTGTTTTTCAGTTTTTCCCAGTGGCTCTCCCACAGACTGGAGGTGTACTTTTTGACTTTATTTCTAAAGTCAGTCTGTGGGAGAGTGTTTGTCGTTGATCCCAGCAGAAGGGATGAAGCTTTCTTCGCCAGGTCGTCTACCTGCTTGTTTCCTCAGATGCCCACATGGTTAGGTATCCATGCGAACATGATGTTTTTTCCTGTCTCGGATAGTGTATGAATTTTCTGTTGTAGTCTAACTATTTTTGGGTGTAAGAGTGTGTAGTTTGTGAGTGAGGTGATGAAAGACAGAGAGTCAGAAAGGATTAGGAAAGATTTGTTTGGAGAATTTTCTACGGAGTCCAGTGCCATGTCAATGGCAGTGGCCTCCGCAGAGAAAATGGAGGCTTCAGGATGGAGTTTCCTCTGGTGTGTACTGTTGGGAGATAAGGCTGCGGTACCCACTTCATTGTCTTTTTTGGAGCCATCCGTGAAGATGAGCTCCGCACCGGGGTATTTATCTATTAGCTTTTTGTATTCTGCTTAAAAAGTTTTGGTGTTTGTGCTTTCTTTGTTGTGTGTGGTCAGCTGTAAGTCCACTTTTGCCTTGGTGAGGTGCCACGGAGGGAGGTTGGGGAAAAGAAATTGTTGGATGTCTTGTTTGGAAAAGTGTAAGTTTTTGAGGTCCTCAAGGATTCCGAGGCCGAAGGGTTTGATGAGTTTTTCGTTGTTTTGGAATCTGTTTATGGTTTCAGGGTTTGTTTTAAAAATGCAGTTGTGCGTTGGATTTTCCGGTGTTGAGCTCTGTTTAATTGCATATTGTAGTGAGAGTTGTGTGCGTCTGAGTGAGAGAGGCGGTATGTTGGCCTCGGCCTGGAGGCTCTCCATCGGAGAAGTGCGGAAAGCCCCCAGAGCGAGGCGGAGTCCTTGGTTTTGTACTGGGTCTAGCATTTTTAAGATGTGTGGTTTTGCCGATCCGTAGACTTAACAGCCATAGTCAAGCCTGGACCGGACAATTCCAGAACGGCCAGGCACCCACTGCAGTGTGACCCGGACGCCATAGGAAGTGCCCATCTGTTTTACAAGGCTGAGGATGTTCCCATCACCTCTGTAGTCTCCTCCTCCCTCCACGGCTTGGAGTACTGACATTGAGTCCGAGAAGACAACAACATCCCCTGGTGTTACTGCGCCTTCAAAAAAGTCTTGGGTGATCTGCTCCAGGGTCTTTACTATGGCGATTCTCTCTGCGTCATAGTTAGAGCTGTATGTTCCACATGGGCCAAATAGTTGGGTCTGCTTCTTCTCTCCAAGGTTGTTTCAATATTTGATGGTAGATCCGTATCCAGCATTTCGTGTAGCGTTTGTTGCTGACCCATCTGTGTATGCATGGATTGGAGTTTCAGCATACGAGTCCACTGTCTCCAGGGCGATAGTTCTGAGGATTTTTTCTGGTGTGGTCTTGTCACAAGAAGGGTCTAGAAGTCTCGTCCTTATTGTGATTAATGATGTCTGCCAATATGGAGGTTCGCTGCTGATGTTGGTGATTGATTCTCTGTTCTTGGGTGGGTCAAACTCCTCAAGTAGTTTTGTTGCTTCTCGCATAAAGGAGGTACAAGGACAAATAAAAAACCCTAAGGACAATTTTATTGCCATTTTACTCTAGCTTAAAACTCATCTTGCCATCACACTTGTAAAATATTCAGGGGGACAAAAAGTGTAAAACTATCTTTATATGAGAACAGAGGAGGCAAAAGATACTCCATGGCATGACATATCACGTGACAAAGCAAGCACGAATTTAACATTTTGGGAATCAAAAATGCGTTTAACAAAGCTAGATGAAAGGATACAATAGTTCACAATTTTCAGTTTCAAATTTTGAAGGACACATAATTTATATATATCAAAGTAAGAAAAGTGATCGTCTTAGACAGTCTGCTCTCTTGGACAGTGCCATTATAATATTTAAAAAACCCACAAGGGTGAAAGTGGAAAATGGTGGTTTGTACAAGTGATTGTCTTTGATGAGTGGTTGTTAGAGCAGGTTCGACTGTACTTGAGTTATAAAACTCATTTATACATTTCATCAACAGACTAGTCAATGAGTCAGCTTGATAAACAAATTTTTCAGAAGAAGATTTTATGATCAACCTGTTCAATATGGAGGGATATTCCATACTTTTACATGGCCGGTTTAGACCCCATGCCAATATAATTCCAGCAGACAGGCAGAGACCATCTTTGAAAAATTTCCCCATTCGGAAAACCAACATATATCTGCCGTGTGCTACAATACAGATGCCAGTTACACTCAAGTTTACACTGCACACATTAACACTAACAATGATAGCATCTTGATTTTACAACAACAATAACAAGGATTGTGTGGCATTGATAGGAAGAACTGCACTATGCGAAATAACAAAAACAATAACAATGTATATCAACAACATGCTGTGACCAGGGAATCTGTTGTGGGTTTTTTTCTAACTTCCAGTAAGTAGTGACAATGCAGATAAATATGTACAAACAATAAAGCAGCAATATGAGAACCCGAAGGATGAAAGGTACCATTTTACGCCTATCTGTTTGTGGCTTTCTCATTGCTTTTCATTCCTGTCTTAAGGATGGAAAAATTTTTAGCTTGTTTGAGTAAAGAAAGGCACATTGCTGCGACAACAGTTATTTAGTATTCAGCAAAGGCATGAAAAGAAAAACAGAAACAAAAGACAGATGTTCAGGAAGAAGTGACTTTAACTCACTGAGCATTAAGTCTTCAACCCCGGAATTATGTTCCACGTTTAGATGAACAATTTTCATATCTTATGAAGAACTTAACAGTGTACGCACGAAAAGTGCTCTTAAAATAGCTAAAACTGAGTCAAAGAAAAAAGGAAGCAGTTTTTATATTCTTTTCTAACATTTCCGGGTCAAAATAAACTTGCTCCGATTCGTAAAGATCACATTTTCAGTAATACTTCATGCACTAAGCAATCCGATCAGACATTGCGACCGCACACGCTGCGGACACCCACTTGGGGACCAAATGAGTTTCGCTGGACACTCTTGCCGTCTACTGGCAGTAAATTGACAATTAAATCTCTGCTCCCCTGCCGCTGCCCGAGCCGAAGGATTTATGATGTTGTAAATAAAAAGCAATTGTCTTTTTGACAAACTACTAAATTTGAATTCAATCCAAGAGACAACTTTTGATAAAATAGGAACACACGAAACAGGGTCTGACAGGAAGAAAAAAAAAGAAAAGCTTGACAAAAATTTATACGCATCAATAAATAAAAGCAATAAAAGACAAGATTTGGTACTTCAACAGAAAGGATAACATAAGGAATGTCTTTTTCATCACATTCATCGCTTAACTCAATTCTACATCTGAACCAGCCATTGCAATCATTTCTAAAACATCATTGATTAGAAATCATACTACGCCTACAGCTTCCATTGCAATATTGCAAATCCAGAACATGTGCTGAAATTTTATAGTTTCAAAAGTTATTTTTACTCTTTGATCACAGCAGTGATTACCCAAATATCCTGTACCAATAGTCAGAATTCGGACACTGTCAGTGTTGAAAACAACAGATATATCATGGAGATTTGTTCAATAAGTTAAATGTTTCAACAAAACAATACAGCAACAATGAACATAAAGTCACCTTCAAGGCACCATATAATGACCAGATAATATAATAAAAATGGTAATCATAACAATAATAACATATGATATTTATGTAGCGCTAAACCACAATGAAAGAACACAGGCATGGAGTGCTTCACAAAAATACAATAGCAATACATAGACAGTACATTAAACAGTTTTTTGGGTAAAGGATACAGAAGACATACAGGGACAGATAAAGACACAAAAGAGTGACTCAATTTAACTATTATTTGTTTCTTATTGAAATAGATACTGCTCAGACGTCCACAGCTCCGTTTGTCTTACGTCGCCTCAGAGAGGTGGGCAACGCCGATTCTCTGGTGTTTACCATCTCCTCTTTGCCCTCCTCCAACTGCTGTTTGGCAAAATACAGGAACACCTAGTGGTACAGAGATCGGACAAAAATTACAGTTTTATCACTGACTTAAAAAGGTTTTTAAAAAAAGGAAATGTTTAACACGCCCCCCCCCCCCCTTTCCCACCTTGCCTCCCCCAATCATCAATCATCACAATTCAGATAACATTTAGGAGGCAGGCTGCTATGACCTTGACTGTCAGAGGCCAGCAAGGCTGAGCTGGTTAAAACATTCAGACAGGTACTCCGTAGAAAACTACCCCATTTAGGAATCAAACACAGGTCTTCTATATAAATGTAATGGCAAAGAGCCTAACAAGCACACCACAAGGCCGGTCCCAGATGAGAGAAATTAGGACTCAAGAAAGGTTTCAAACAAAGCAATATCTAAAAGGGAATTTTCTTTTAATAATAAAAAATTCATGCTTCTCAACTGATGCTCCAAAAGCAATTAACTCTTTCCGGACGTATCGCCGATATATCGCCGCGAGTCCACACCCCTTGTGGACGTATCTATCGCCGATATATCGGCTGTAATGGGGTGCCTTAGTATTGTTTCGTTTTAACATGATCCATTATTTATAAGTACTTTTTATTGTTATTGAAAACTTGGAAAGGGTTTAGGAAACGAAAACACAGAGTTTCACTTTGTCAAAGCGTTGTTCTGGCGAAAAACGAGCCAATTAGTTCTTGTGGTCTTGCATCAAGAAAACGATCTAACCGGACTCAGTATAAACATCATGACTGACACAAAAATTGGAATATTGCATTCAAATAAAAAGCAGCATATTCAAAAATTTTTGGAGTCTGCTCTTGGCCTGTATATGATAAGACAGCTACGCTGATTTGCTTTCACATGTTTAGTGTGTGTAATTTTTTCCGTCAAATGTATTTTTCTCACGACCATCACCATTTCAAACCCTAGTAATGCATACTTAGCTTCAAAATTAATCATTGTTTCATGTTGGAAGGTACTCCTTATTCAACTTCCTTCAATTTGATATATCATATGTTACGTTTTGAGTGATGATTATGCTTATATGAAGTTAATTTGTACATGACCCGTGTAGCCAAATCGAGCCACAAGTTAATTACCTCTAGACCCCAAAACAATTAATAATAATAATAATAATAATAAATAGCATTTATACTGCACATTTCCATTTCCTAAAAGATGCTCAATGCGCATTACAATGAAAAAGACATCACATCTTAAAAATTAATCGACACAAATGTGTACGTAAAACAAAGTATTATACATATAATATAAATGCATATGTGTAAAATTTTATACCAGAAAAACAGTCTCGCAGTGAGGTTGAAAATGTGTTCACTAAAAATATACAATGCAATATAAATTCACGAACAGTCAAAATACAGTTGAAACGTGAGTAACTAGAAACATTCATTAAAACATTAATTCTATACAGATAGAAAAACATTTCCGCTCTACCTCTCTCTCTCTCTCTGTCTGTCTCTCTCTCTCCCTCTCTCTCTCTCCCTTTCTCTCTCTCTTTCTCTCTCCCTCTCTCGCTATCTCTCTCTTTTCTCTCTCTTTTCTCTCTCTATCTCTCTCTTTTTCTCTCTCTCATTCTCACTCGCTATTTCTTCAGTCTCACAGTCTGGCATACACATGCATATATATCACAGTACATCATTATGACAGGTATGCTTTTGTGAATAAAAAATGCTTCAGCTGATTTTTGAAAATGGAAATTGTTGGGGCAGATCTTATTTTATATGGGATTTCGTTCCATACCTGGGGCCAAAGAACAAAAAGGAACGCTCGCCGTATGTTTTGTAGTTTTGTTTTGGAGTTTTAAGAATTAGATTGTCAGAGGCTGATCTAAGGGCTCTAGGTGGATTATATAATTCCAGGAATGTTTTAAGATAAAAAGGTGCACTATCATTTATACATTTAAAACAGAGAACGGCAGTTTTGTATTTAATCCTTTCTTTTATTGGCAGCCAGTGTAGTTCTTTCAGTCCGGAAAGAGTTAAGAGCTCGGCACAGACAACAAATTCAACACGACACAGGACCCTTTCGTTCATTCTATCAAAGAAAAGTATACAAACACAAAAACAATTATAACAGTAGTACTCTCTAGTAAAGGGCAGAAAGATGGGTGGATGGTGACAAATTGATTCAGGTAAAGATAGGCACACTGGCACAATCATGGTCATCAAATGTTGGGCTAAAGTAAGATCAACACAGGTACATCAGAGGGAAAGAAAACAAGTAGAGCCTACAAGTGACCCCACCAGTAAGGTACCTGTCTACTAGAGTCTGTAAAGTAAGAAACTGATGATGTACTTCGTGTGTGTATGTGTGTGTGTTGAATGTGTGTGTGAGAGTATGTGAGTGAATAAGTGAGTGTGTGTATGTATGTGTGTGTGTGTGTGTGTGTTTGAGTGTGTGAGAGAGTGAGTGAGTGCATGAGTGAATAAGTGAGCGTGTGTATGTGTGTGTGTGTGAGTGTGTGTGTGTGTGTGTACACGTGTGTGCGTATGTAGGCCTACATGTGAGTGTGCATGTGTGTGTATGAGTGCGTGCCCCAAAATAAGACACAGGGGAGTAAATATATTTCGACAACTTGCCTGCTCCAAAGTGCTCTGACTGAAGCTGTATTCCTCCAGATTATGCGTAAGTTTACCTGTGGAGAAGAAAAATATTTTTTCAGCCAAATCAAATAAAGACTAGAACTGTTGCATTTTAGTTTTCATATAACTAAGAAAGGCAAGACAACAGAACAAAAAAAACTCAAAAGGAAAACAGAAAAGCCCAGAAATAGGAAACCAGGTATAAAAAAATACGAACTGACTTTGACACGTACAGATCAATTGATTAGTCAAAGACTTTTTCATACGTTTAATTTCAAAATGGCATGTAGCGGAGTCTTACACCAGTCAGTCGAGAGGCATATGTGAGGCATTGCAGTGAAATCAGGCGCTCGTCAAAATAATAAAATCGAAGCTGCATTATTCCGCCAGTTTGACAATTTTTATAGAATTTTTGTTTTTTAGAACAACACTAAAAAAAAAACACTGATTGAAGGCACAAAATAAAAATGTAAAGTTGCAATTTCCAAGGACTCTCAGGCTATTTTCGCAGCCATTTTTAAAAACGTATTCTACCTCTGAAACGAGGCGACCCCCATCTCCTTCAATCACAAACATCTCGACCCCTATTCACGATAGATGGACATTTTCTTTCATTGAAAGCAAGGCAAATAAACAACCTTTAAGGTGATAACAATAACTCTCTATGCCCATCAGTTAACGAGCGCCCGATTTTGTGTTGTGACACATATATATCCCATGCTTACATTCTTCCAAGTTTGAGAAAGTTACTCCCAGCGACTTGACATCGTCTCTTGGCACCGAGTACTGGGCTCTTTCCATGAACCTCTCCACCATGTCAAGACCTGGGAGGGAACAAACGAACAAATGAAATAAAGAATGACGGAAGAAATAAGTAGTGCTTTTAGTTTAGTCTTGTTTTATTAGGAACAGCACTTGCAACAAAATTAAGTCACATAAGTGCCAAAGATAAAAGGTGTTACAAGAGAGTAAAAAACAAAAAAAAGGAGGAGAGAAAAGGACAATAGATGTTTGATAGGGAAAAAGTTCTGATTCTCATTCCTATTTAACGTACATGAGTGATTTTCACGTTCAATTTTCCCAATGTCCTAAAAATTATATAATGATCACAGTGTTTTTGCAGAGATACATTAATGGTACTGATGTTCCCCATCTGCTTCCTATGTGGGGATAAAATTTTGTGCTCTGCCAATTATGTGAGATAAAGTAAAGTTGTTCCCACATCTGATCCAGACATTGGAGATTGCCTCGTTAGTGAAATAACTTCTTGGACCTTCTGCATAATATTGTGGTAGGGTGGCCAGTACCTTTCCATGCCGCCTTTACTTTCCCAACACGAAGTCAGGTACCCATTACTGCAGGGTGGGCAGGTTGGGGGGCGAAAAAATCCGCGTCAGTGTCCGAACTGAGGCTCGAACCCAGATATTCCGCTTCAGAGACGAGCGAACTAACCGCTCCGCCACCGCACCCTCTATGTGAGATAAAAGTATTAAATAGAGGTGTTCACCTGCAGAGAGTTTGAGTTTACCTGGGAACAAGGTCTTGAGGTGAGCCTCCAGCTGATCCATCAGTCTCTCCACATTGCCTGCCTCGTGGCCCGTCAGCTTCACTTCCAGAATGTAGCCGCTACCATACGTGTCCTTGAGGTGCTGAGTGGAGCCCAGACATCTGGAAAAGGAAAAACAGTTTGTCAGCATCATTGCACAAACACCTTTGTCATTTTAACAAGTTTTTAGAAAATTAACCCTCTTAGCACCAAGAATAGGTCAGCAGCTTAGCACAGCAGAACCAAAATTTTTATTGTTATGGAATTTTCTAGAATAGAATATAAGCGACAGATGTTTACAAAAATATTTACCTGTTAAGACAAATTGATACATGTCATTGTGCAAAAGCTGGACACTCTACACATGTTCGATAATTGAAGAAATATTTGACAATTCAATAAGTTGCAACACAAACTTTTGACCACACTGTAGTGGATGTTTTTGAAGATATAAAACATTAAAGGAAAGTCAGAACAATTTGAAAAGGGAAGACGACAAGACAAGACACTGCACTGAAATTAAACCTTTAAATGCCAGAACTGCTTTATAGTGTTATCAAAGAGCTTTATGCAGTCTATAGTGAGACAGAGAAAGGGACAAAGCTTAAAACAAATATAAACTTTCTAGCGCAGAAAAGGGATAATCTTGGCTAAACTTTAAAGCGGCTAAAAGGAAATAATGATGCCAAAATTGACAAGGGGCCGCACAGAGATACATTTCAGTCGAAGGGCAAAAGCAGAGTCTAGCACACACATACATCGCAAGCTGACAAAACTTTTTTTTTTCATTCACAGCAGTTTTGAGAAAAAAATGTTTTTTTGTCAGTGCTACCATTGAAAAATAGGGTTCTTCCAAAATTTGAATTCGAATTTATTAAAAAATTAGTCATAGTTTCCCTTTGATTTTTTTGCGTAAGTAAGGTAACTGATCAGGTTTTCGATTTAGAAAATAAAATATTTTGGAGGCAAAATGAAAAAAAAAAGGTGTTTTGTCAGCCTAGGGCAGCATAGCGAACACATACACATAGCAAACCAAACACATAGGGAACAGATTTTCAGGTCCCAAACTTTTCTTGTGCATATGTATTTTCTTTGTATTCAAAACAAGTACAAAGCGAAAGTCATATAAATAATGAAAAGATTTCCTTATCCTGCCGATTTCACCATGTATGTCTAGACTGTAGAAACTCTGAGCCCACGGGTGTGCTGTACTCACTGTAGCTGTCCATTGACCATGATGCCAACACGGCTACACAGCGCGTCCGCCTCCTCCATGTAGTGTGTAGTTAAGATAGCACCTTTGTTCGTGTTCTGGAAACTGGAGCTGATGGTGTCCCTGTACACAAATATGACACAAAAGAAAGAGCCCAGAATTAGACCATCTTGATCATGACCACAGCTGCCAACTTTTCAATACCAAAAAAACCCAACCCCAGACTCTTCTCATGCCTTAGGTCAAGTTGTTGTTGTTGTTGTTATCAATCCAGTCCTTAGGTCAAGATGATGGACATTGATCAAGTAATCCCTCCCTCTCTAAACCCTCCACACACATTTCATTTTTTTAATTCAATGAATTCAAACTATTCAAAGCAGTCCTGCAATAATAATGCGAAATAATGGTAAGGGACCAGACTCCCATTGATTTATGGACATCATTCTCATCATTATTCACAAATCCAGTCAAGAAAGTCCATTGTTTTCCTACATCAACACGTTCATGAGGAGCAATACCAGAAAACAGAGAATACATATTACTTTCCAACACAAAAACATGCTAAAGTACTCAGACTCCTAAAAGCCTACTATATGTGTTTTTTATACACTGGTTCACAGTTATGGGTGTCCCTGCAAACAAACACGAAACAAATAAAAATGAGCCCAGAATTAGACTATCTTCTTCAAGAGCCAGATCAGAAGCAGACAGTGATGGTCCTGGTACACCACTCATTTCTCCGCTCAGACATTCTAACAAAAAACTATATAATCCTGGTCTTCTCCCTTCATCAATCTCTTACAGTTATGTAAGTAATACTCTTGCTCTGCCTCTTTTTGCTTTCTATTTTAGTCTTATGTTATTTCTTTTCTATATATTTAAAAGAAATTTAATTTGCTAATGTAATTTCTTCAAAGGCTAGCTTTATTAGAAATGAAGGGGGCAACTTTTCTTTAACTCCTTATCTCAAGCCGCTAGTTGGAACTGCTGTGCCAGTGAACCACTGGCAGCAGTTCAACCACATTCCTTTACAACGATTTCGCTGCAAATTACTTTTCAGCAATTGCCGAAAACAGGTCTCTTTCACTGGGAGTTCATTCATTAGATGAAGAGCTATCAAAACAGATTTACATACTTTGATTTAATGACCCATTTAGTGGCGTTTTTGTCATTTTTGGATTTAGTACCAAAAGAGGACCCCGGCATAGTGGGTTTACCCTACCCCCCTCGGAGAAAAAGAGATAACCATGATCTCTTGGAAGCACACTTACCACAGGAATCGCTTGGACTGGGGGTCCATGCCAGTTGACGGTTCATCCATGAGGACAAGGCGGGGAGAGCCCAGAATGCTCATGATGTAGCTCAGCTGTGGACACATTAAGGATCAACATGATATTTGTTTGTCTTTTATTTGTAGACTCCGTAAGCAAATTCAAATTCAATTAACCTTTTACCCATCGAATCTACAATGTTATCAAAGTGTTTACACAGTCTCAAGCAAGCTAGTGAAGAGCTACACTGATATGAATTAAAGTCTGTGAAATTGAATTGGATATTATTCAGATTGTTCAATTACAGATCATCATAGAAAGCCTGAATAAATTTCTGTGAGGATGTGAAAACACTGAAACTGAATTAAGGAGATGGAAAGAACATTATGCAATAATGATCAGAAACTCTTATCCTCAAGAGATGTGTAACAAATCATTATGTTTCGGTCCCACCAAATGAAAAAATATTCCAGAGGAAAACATGAAATATGGACTGAAAAGTTCCATCTATTTTTTTTGCGAGTGTAAGCAAAGGTTTTCTGGTTGGGACATGTCTATTTTACCTACAGTAGGCAGAAACAATTCATGCCCATCTTCACAGCACTAAACATCTCAACTGCATGAATTTTACCTTTCTCTTAGTTCCTCCAGAAAGTTTCTTTGCTTTCTTTTTCCTATGTTCTTCCAGCTTGAGACTAGAAATGTAGCTGTAGAAAAGAAATCAAGAGCAAGTTGTAAGATTTATAAGCAGAGCTGTTCAAAAATAAAATTCCAAATTGGTAGATCTTTCCACTCGGCAACGGCACCCTGTAAGATACTTTTATCATCCACAAAAAAAAAGATAATGTGACAGAAAAAAAGTTGTACTCTTACTGAATTTGGTCCTTACACAGGAAATGAAGAAAGAGACAGTCATGCTTGCATTATGTTTAAGTATGAGTTTTGCTGCATTTGCAACACAATTAGGTCATATGCCTACATAAGGGTGAAGATGTGAGGTGAAGCAAGAGAATAACAAACACAAAAAAGAAGGAAGGAAGAAAAGCAGGATAGATGTTTGATAGAAAAGAAGGAGCAAACCACACCAGAACACCCACCAGCCACCCACATAGTTCTGCTGTGATACACTGGCAGAGGAAGAGTTGATAAAACCCAACAATAGAAAAGAACAAAAACATAGGTAATAAAACATCACTCACAAATCTGTGACTGTGTCCAGGTGCTGGGGCGCCACACCTTTCATAGAAAAGAAGGAGTAAACCACACCAGAGCACCCATCAACCACTCACATAGTTATGCTAAAACACATTGACAGAGAAGGAGTTAAAAAACCCAACAGGCAAGAACAAAAACACACATAATTAGACATAACTCACAAATCTGTGACTGAGTCCAGGTGCTGGGGAGCCACACCTTTGATGGCCGCGAAGCACTTGATGTGTTCCTCCAGGGTGATCAGCTCCCAGAGGGCGTCGTGCTGCGGGCAGTAGCCCAGGGACTCCAAGAGAGACAGCATGTTAGAGCGGATGTTGTGGCCGCCAATCACCACCTGGGTACACAACAACCAAATGGACAATAGTAATAATAATAATAATAAAAATAATAATAAATAACATTTGTATAGCACATATCCCCGCTCGACAGAAAGCTGTATGTGCTTTACACTTTATTTGAATCCACGACCTTACACAGTTGCGAGTCTGAGAGCCGAACCACTAGGCCACCAATAAAATGTTTAGAGCGGATGATGTGACCACCATCTGTGTGACAATACATGTTAGAGCGGATATGATCTATACCCAATATCAAGGTGAAAAAGACAAAAGAGGATGACAATGTAAGAGTAAGATAAGATAACATAACATAATATGAGATAGATGATACTTTATTGCCCCAGGGGGAAATTTTTCTAGTAACATCTCGATTACATGTTTCAGAATTATTGAATTTTCAAGAAGTCGCACCTTTAGATGTTTCTAAAACATTTCTCACCTTTCCACAAGTGGGCCCCGTCTCTGCAATCATCATGTTGAGCGCTGTGCTCTTCCCCGCACCGTTGGGTCCCAACAGTCCCAACACTTCTCCCTCGTCCACTGCAACACTCAGGTTTCGAACCGCCACCTTCGACTTGACGGGAGCAGGATTGCACATGCCCTTGCTCTTGGTGCGCTTCTCAAACACTTTGCGCAGTTGTGACATAAAGGCAACTGGCTCCTGCAACAACACAACACAGCGAATGTGAGAAAACTTTCAAACCATCAGGAGTCTTTTATTTAGTTTTGTAGAAGTTTCACGGCACTTGCAACACAATTAGGTCAAAGGAGTGCAGAGGATTAGAAGCGTTTCTAGATTGTAATATACAAATAAAAGAAGGAGAGGTATGGGCGATAGGTGTTTGATAGGAAAGAAGGAGCAAACCAAACCAGAGCTACTGCAAACCGCCCACCAGGAATCTCCTTTTTGGATTGTTGTTTGTCTTAATAAAGAAAAGCACATAGACACAATTCAGTCCTCCGAAACATAAAAACTGATAGATACATGGGAGGGATAGGAAAGAAATAGGGCCTACCAGTGGCATCCTCCAACCACCCACTTTTCTATTAGAGATAGATATGGTTGAGGAAGCAAGATAATAACCGAACACCAATTAGTTAGTTAGATAGTTAGACAAATGGATGAAAAGACAGGTTAGCAGATAGGCAAGTATATACACAGGAAGAAAAACATTTCACAAAAGAAACAGAAGGAGGTTGTTAAAACATTTATCAGAAAAATTAGCCCCAAAAAAATTTATAATGAAGCATTTACAGAAATGAGATGTCTCCTGATAAATCCTAACATTTGTGAAAAAAGCGTTAGTACATAACTATAACAAAAGTACTTCTTCACTGCCGATAAAACACAAGGCCAGAAAATATCCAAGCTCAACAAGTCTTTACCACTTGACCTCCACCCACTATATACTATTATACAAACTTTCTTTGAACATAACTAAATCTCATCTATACAATACAAATTACAACACTCTACGGAACATTACAGCAACTGCAGCAAACCTGCACTTATCACTACATGGCATTGGAGAGAAGGGCGAGAGCCCAGATGTTGCTGGATCGATAACAACAACAACATACAATACAAATACCATTTTGGTTTAGTTAGAGAAAAGAGAAGCACATCAATACAATTATGGTCATTTAGTGCAGTGAAAAAGGTAAGACCCGAGGGCAGAAACAACATTAGTGCAGTGAAAAAAGTAAGACCCGAGGACAGAAACAACACAGGGAAAGAAAAGAAGAAAAAAAATCAACTAAAACGTAAGTAAATAGCATATGCTAGGCATTTCCATTTTCTAAAAAAAAAATTAAAAAAAGAAGCTCTATGCGCATGATTTAGCACAAATATGTATCAGAACAAGCTTATGCCATCAGACATTCAATAAATTCATCCTCTATAGGCAAATATAAAATACACATCTCAGAAGCTTTACATGAGACAGCCCCATCCATCCATTTGAAATATGAGCAAACACAAAAACTAAACCACCACAGTCAATTAAAACAACAGGACACTTAACTCCTTAAACACTTAAACCCTTTGACCCAATTTCACCTCCTCACCACATGCCATCTTATGAGGGCCGGGGCATTTCTCCCCATCTGTACGGTATATTTAATTTACTGAAGAAGCAGCACTTGCTGATAGGACTGACACCACAAGATTGTAATAGAGTTTTAAGACATTTGATTTTACTTTTTATTATATCAGTGGTGATATGTTCTAACCATGTGAATGCTTTCTTGAAAATTGTTCAATTCAAAAATGAAAAACTAAGAAAATATCAACCTCTAATTAAGATTATGGCAGAAAATAAAAAAGTTTGCCAACAGTACTTTTATATTGTTATCTATACCACAAAAAAAAGTCCACCTATTTTTTTCCAGTTACAGGTAGAGCATAGTACCATCCATATCATGATCAGGATTGTTTAGGAGTGTTTCAATGTATCTAGTAGCATTCATTACAAATTGTTCTTTTTAAAATAATTCTCTTAAAACAATTACATAAGACATAAGAATTTCATTAAAGATGTTACTTTTGAAGTTTATTACAACTTACTAACTGAACTAAGAGACAAAATAAGTTCTGCAAGTATCTTTTGCCAACACATGAATGCTTACAGTGGCTCAGGATGCCAGATGGAGGATCAAATTTTAATTAGGGCCATTAAGTCAGGGTTCAAAGGGTTATGAAAGAAAAACTGATAACAAGATATAAAACAATTACACAAGGAAATCACAACAAAGCTGATGTTCACTAGGGAGTACAAAGCAAAAGACGAGTATGAAAAGCAAGTGTTAAACTCTGCACTTTCCTTTTTGGTCTGAAGATGCTTGAAGAGAAAGAAGTTTCCATTTTTAATTAGAATTTGTAACTCATTTGGTCTTAGTTGCTTCAGCGAGCACTATGAACCACTGCAGACAACTTATATTGGCTGACCTACAAAATTTATGTCCGATAAAGATAGAAAAAGAATTGTAGCTTAAATTAAACATTATAAATTGTTAATTTCAACATGAATTTTTCAAATAAATATTCAAGACATAAAAATTTTATCTTAGAAGAGTAGGTTTGGTGAGTACAAATTTCATAACAACTTACTAACTGAAAAAAATAAATTTTTAATTCCATGTCAAAGCAAGCTAACAAGAAGAAATTATACAACGAACAGCACAGCCAAAGCATTAAAACCTTTACCATCTAAGTTAGAGCATGCACAACACAACACATACTGCACGCCGGCTTTTTTCTGCTTTTGTTTTTTTTCCTCACATTACGTTCATTTTGTTTTTCACAAACGTTTTGGTTTTGCAATCTGAGTTGCTCAGAGTCATACACATATTTGGGTACCAATACAGAAAATTGTGCCCTCTCGACTCGGGTTCGAGGGTCCTGTGTCAGAATCTCAGCAAGCTCAATTGGACTCAAAAAGAATACTCAGGGCAAATGATCAGGGAGTAGAATGCTGCATTTTTAAAGATCATAATCTGCCAACTTGCTACCTACAACCCGCTTACAAATACCCTAACATACCTGCCACTATACTGTCTTCCCACTTAGCTCCTCTCTACACTTGTCTTGGACCGATAGAATAGGCTAACACCTTAGCAGAGACTGAGCCCACCATTTCGGAACTTCATGGCGACCATTTAGATGGTTCCAGTAGGGAACGGGACAGAGGGTCACATCCCTCGAGACTCAATGGAGCAGAGGAAGATAGGACTAACGCTAACATTACTTAAACGCAATCGCTCATTATCAATCATCACCACTATTATTTCTAAAATCATCACCGCTCTCAGATTAATGACTTACATCTATAATCCTGGAATCTCTATCTGCGAGTACAGTTAATTGTTATAGTAAGTATGCATATAATACACTATTGGACACTATCACATGCACTTTTATCTACTTTTCAGATGGCGTCAATCTCATATAAATGGGCAAGGGGGGGAAGAAAAAAAAAGGGTACCAATACAGAAAGGTCCCTTGTAATATTGTGTGAATGACTTGAATTTGCAGATATCTTAAATCACGAATTCAAGAAGCACTCGAAAGAAAAAAAGTATGGAGAAACAAAGGAAGCCCAATACAATGTTTTTCCTTAAATCCAGTACTTATCAGCAGAAACCAACAACCTATTCTTTTTTCACATTGTAGCTTCAAGGCACTACTCTCTGCTCTTATTTCTCTTCTACTCCTCCACAGTATCCATCCACAACTTCTTCAATCATGTCATACAGACTTCTTTTCAACTTAAACTCATTCATCGCATGATACCTAGAGGCACACTATATTCTAGAGCAGTGGTCAGCAAACTTTGTTCAAAGTGGGCCGGATAACAGAAAACGAAAAGGGTGGATCAGATCACTGTTTCATTCAATACAATACACTGGTGTGTGAAATATAAGATTTGTTACCTTCAAACCAAGCAAGAGTGTGGTACATAAGCTAGAAGTTATGATGTCTATAAATGCTCAATGTAATTTGTACTGTAGAGTTCAATTAAATGATTTAACTATTTTGGTGACACAAGTCTGACACATCATCTTGAAAGTCCCCCCCCCCCCCCTGCAGGGTGGCAAGCCAGATGAACTGACCTCACTAGTAGGATTCAGGCCTGCAGGCCACAGTTTGGCAATCCCTGTTCTATAGGCTAAATCCCATGAAACATACAGGAAATCTTTACCTGATAGGGCAAATGGTTCCTCTATACACCGTTTTCTTTAATTAAGGGTACACTATGCAACATGTTGTTAAACACAGTAAGGTTTTACACCAGGTACACAAGGGTACACTATACCCCATGCTGTACAAGAGTACGCTACGTCACGCTCATGAGATAAAAGTCATGTTTAGCCATTTTGAGAAAAAACTTCCTTTTGAACAATGAACGTGTGAACTGATTTTATATCTGGATTATTCTTTTGTCCAAGTGAACTATATTACCAACTGGCTTGGATCTGCTCTTCTTTCACAACTAAAAATTCCAAATCAGCCAAAAGTGACTTGGGCAATTATCTTATGAGCGTAATGACTATATATCTCATGTTACATAAGGGAACATCACACACCACACTACACATAGTTACACAATAGGTCTTGTTAAATGCGAGTACTCAATGTTACTTAAGGGTACACGGTACCTCATGTTACAGACACAGATACGTTATGCTCCATGTCACTTAAGGGTATGCTACACTCTGTGTTATGTAGGAATATCATACTTTCTAAACACACTGTTGGCACAAGTCTCTCTGAAAGTGTCAGTGCATCTGTCTAATCCGTCCCTTTACACGCCTAAAACAGTTCCCTGATCATTGTTGCTTTTGAAGAAACTCATCAAATTAAGATTAATTACCATATTGCTGTTGACACCCCCCGAAAAGCATGATTCAGAGGTATCTAATGAGAAACCAAAGAACACACCATTCATAATGTGGAACAAAACAACATAAAACAAGGGTATGGGTTACATGAATACGACAAGTCAATGTACCTTTGGTGACATGCCATTTAGTCTGAAAGCAGGACTTTGGCTCTGAATGAAAAGAAAAACATGATGTGATAACAACTTTTGCTTTCAAAGTTGAAAGACAAATGCATTGGACTGGCAGCAAACAAAGTCTTCACTTCTCTTCTTACATAATAATTAAGACTTGCAAAATTTGCTATTGCCATTAAAGTTTGACCTTTAAATGCTGGAAAAAGCTGAATTTATATTATCATAATCCCTACAAGGGCTGGCTCCAGAAGTCATACAATTGTCAGAGGGATGAAAATTTGAAATAAATACTGGAAAGTATATATTTCAAAACATAAACCTGTCTTGCAAAGCAAAATAAAAAAACCACACTGGGAACTCGCCAAAGCACATGAAGTTCCTTTAAACCAGTTACAAAGTTGAGGGAACTCAAAAGCGTTCAGTACAAAACTTTCTTATAGGACCTCTAAACTCAGAAAGGAGTTAAAGTTCCAATAATGATTACAAAACAACAGAACCCTCTGTGGCCTCATTCCCAGTCTTACAGGGCTTGTGCACCTCAATTCCTTTGGGTCAACTGCTAGATTTGCCCAATGGCACACTGAGGCTCGCATTCAGAAAACAAAAAGGTGTGCATTAATATCCATATGGCTAAGATCTGCTAGCAAGCGTTGGGAGAGAAGGGACTGACTAGCCTACAAAAGTGGCAGGGGAGTAAACAAGCCGACTATGTGACTATGTTAGTGCCAAGTTTTCAACACTTTTCCAAATTATAGCCTAACACTAACAACTTTTACTGTTTCATAGTAGACATAGCCAGAGGAAAGGATTTCATTGCTGTTTCGTAGCTGGCATGATTTTACATTAAAATGTTTTAATGAGATCACTGCGTTGACCCACCAGTAGCGTCAATCCCTGCTCAGCCTAGACTTAAGTCGCGGCTCGGAAGGCCGGTTCAAATTTCGCGTCTCTTTATATACCCCGCGCACGCCTTTACTTTCCTACACTCACTAGGCTACACTGAGTTTGTTCACTCATTTCACGTTCTTGTGGCTTGCCAGGTTAACGCAGAAAATTAGACAACAAAGGTAAACTTCTAATCTCTGAAAAAAAAAGAAGGTATCACAGGCAGACAAAATGGGCATATTTCTACCATCAGCAGGAGTACAAAGTCACACTAACATGTCCATAACTTTGACATGGCGAGTGCGGGAGTGACATCAATATGGCAACAAAAGCTTGTTTGGAAAGCTCTTCATTAAAGCAATATGCGGAAGGGAGGGGCAGGGGGTGAGGAGGGGGCTGGGTTGTCTTTGTGGCAAATTAGTGTATGAAGCAAATCAGGATGAAGATGAAAGTTTGAGTCTATTACCGAAGTATGAAATCCTTGAATCTGAGTACGACCGAACTGAAACTGGGTGTTCTAAAGAAATGTAAAATGGACAGTTCTGAGAACTCTAAAAAAAAACAACCCAGCAGGGAGATCAAAGGCCATAAGGGAAAGCACCAACGTACAATTCTAAAAAAAATCACCTCTGAAAAAGATTGCTCTAGTCACTTGGTTGGAGAAAAAGAAACTATTCCTCAACACATACTCCATTTGAAAAACAAAACACTGTCGACTTTTGTTAAAGAGGACGCCAAAGGGTCACAGAAAAATATCAGTATAATCATAAAATCCTTTAGTCCGTTTCTTCCCTTCTTTTATGTATAGTCAAGAGATTTGTAAAAAAAGGAATGGTTATCTTATAACTGAAACTAATTTTATCAGAGTATGTTTCTAAACACAGCCCGATGCAATCCTTATAGGGTGCGGGCTCCACAAAGAAAACATTCAGAACTGACAAAACAAACTTTGTTACTATTACCAATTATTAGACTTGTGCAAGAATAAGAGTCCATTGGCACTGTTACATTATGGCTCAAACTGGAACTCAGTTAATCTACTGTAAGTTGGTCCAGTTTCTCTGAACCATCCTAAATGTACATATCCACAACCCTTTCTATTACTATTAACCACCCTCCAACATTTACACTCAAAAGAGCCCCCCCCCCCCCTAACCCTTACAATAAGGAGCCATTTCTGGGTCCAGAAATCCAGTGAACAGCAATGTGAAACGCCGCTTTTATCTAATCATACAAGTTAAGAGCTAATGGATTTCATGACAGCAGATGTCATTGGTGAAGAAATTTCAAGAGATTTTAGAATTAAAAAGTATAACTTCTCCCCAGGGCGGCCCACCTACCAGCATATGTTTAATAATTAACACATAAAAAATTAGTAATCTGACTTTAAAATTTGAAATATGGTTGCGGATAGTCTTCTCCCCTAGGCTGTTAAGGAAAGGGGTTGAAGTCAAGTATAAATGTAAAGTAAATAAAGGCGTGAAGAAAAAAAGGTCTCGCCAAGCTCGTCATTGTCAAACTAAGAAAAAAGAAGGGTTCCTGTTCACAAAAGCAAAAGAAACTTTTGGAACTACAAAACATGCGACATGCCACCGATCCTGATAGTGCATTACAACACACCATGCCCCACACCCACTGTTGCTGTTTCGAGTTTCAAACCAAGAATTAATTCATTTTTAAAAAATTCTCCCATTGGCCTACGCTATCACCCACAACACAAAAGGGCAGGAATTTTCCGAACACTTAGTCAACCCAATGTTTGCTTTACTCCTGGCTTTGGCACTTCTAAAGTCTAATGTTTTTCTAAGGGCAAAGTGGCACTGAGCGACTCCAAGGGCTCAATGCAAAGAGGATGTTAAAGTTCGACAGCTGTGCGTGGCCTACTGATGTAGACTGTCCAGGTCTGGTAGTTTTTATAACTGATACACCAGGAAGGTTTTCAGTGGGTTGGGGTAGCCAAAATTTTAAAGAAATCAGAATCAGGGACATTACAATCATATTTTCGTAAAAATTGAATAAAAGTCGTAACAATTCCACCAAATTCGTAATGATGGGGAGCCCTGTATCCCATCATCCCACCCCTTTCTTTTTCCCCCCTCTCTCTGACAAAGTCTTCCCACCAACCTACCCTATCCTCAGACGTGTTCATGGCCTCCACACGAACTCTCTCCGCTTTTACGTCGTTGTCCTCATTGTTGATCACATCTGTGTTATTTGACTGCACAAATGACTTTGACTTTGATAAGCAGGGGAAGGCCTCCAAAACTCTGCCTCCGGTCTTCTTGATGTCTAGGATTCGCAGCAACCAGTACATCCACATAGCATGGATCACAGGCTGTGGGGGTGGGGAAATGATAGACCAGGAGATAAATTTGTAAAAATTTTCATTAAAGAGTTTTATGGCACATATAAGGGTCCATGAATAGAGGCGTCACTGAAAAGAAATGTATAAGAGTTTTTTTGTTTGTTTGAGTAAAGAGAAGCACATCGACACAATAACTGTAATTTAGTTTAGTTTAGTTTTAGTAAGAGTTTCTTGCAACACAATACAGTCATATAAGTGCCGAAGACTAGAGGCGTTACAAGAGAGTAACAAACACAAAAAAGAAGGAGGGGAGATAGAAACGATAGATTTTTTTATAGGAAAGAAGGAGCAAACCATATCAGAGCACCCGCCCACCACCCACTGGTCATTTAGTGCATGGAAAAAGATGACAGATAGAAACAATAGAAGGAGAGAAAAGAAGTATGACTTACCAGGGGCGCCCTCCAACCACCCATGTAACACAAAAGAAAAAGACAGAGGAAAGGCAAGGGCGATAGATGTTTGACAGGAAAGAAAGAGCAAACCACATCAGCCAGAGCACCCACCAATCACACACAAAAAAGATTTTTGAGTCCGAGTTTGAGTAAAGAGAAGCACATAAATAGGTTATTCAGGGCAAGGAAAAAGTGAGAGGGATAGAGAAAGAAATAATTTTTCTTTGGTAAGAGTTTTACGAGACTTTCAATACAATAAGGTCGTATAAGTGCCAAGCATAAGAGGTGTTACAAGGGAGTAACAAACACAAAAAAATAAGGACGGGAGATAAAGATGACAGATGTTTGATAGGAAAGAAGGAGCAAACCACACCAAAGCACCCACCAACCACCCACAAAGAAATAATTGGGGGGGGGGGTGGCATCAACCTGTCACAATAATCCATTCAATGGAACTTGGGTCTCCAGCATGTGACAGCACCACAGACGCATGTGAAATATTGTCTCTTTTGAACAGAAAATGAAAGAGATGATAAAAAACTGAAGTCAGTGCCTTTATTCATTAGCCGTTGTCCAACTTATTGGACCAAATCAGTGAAAGGAAAAGAACAGGAAGATACAAATATCTTTGAGAGCATCTGTGTACAGAAGTGAGTGGCACAGCTCGACTGACAGTGATTGCTGAAGAAGAAGAAGAAAAAGAAAAAGGAGGAGGAGGGAAAGAAGACGAAGAAAAAGTGTGCCTAGATCTTGATCACTATAAATATATTGAAGTGTTCCACGTTGGTTCAGAAAGTACCATGCTGGACTGAAGTGCAGATCACTGCTGGTTTGTGGGGACTCAAATCAAAGAGAGCCTAGCAAGGTCTGTACCACGATACAGTGGACATATTGCTGCTTTAGAATTACAAAGTTAGCTCGGCCATTTTTGGCCATTTTGAGTAACTAAGATCATGAGGTCAGAAACCAAATGCTCTATCTGCTTTATCAAAACCAGAAGACTATTCGGATTCGTTATCACAATATTCAAAGAATTATATTAGAAAAAGCTTGACATGTTGTAAAACGAAAAATTTTTACATCAAAATTTTCAAAACTAGGTACTGAGCAGATAGAACTTTGTAATTCTGAGGTAGTAATATATCTGGCAAGAGACTGAGCATAGGCTTACTTATCTAGATATATTGTTGAGCTTTTCTGAGCATGAATTTTTGGAGCATTTACTCGAGTAAAGAAAAGCACTTTTATACATTAACATATATCTTAAGCAATGAAGAAGCAATATAGGACAGACAGAGAAAAAACACACGAGGGAAGGGAAAGAGGAAGAGCCTCCCAGTGACGCCCTCCAACCATCCGTATTGAAAGACAAGTCTCCATAACTCCCTGGTTCTGATATAACTGTGACAAGCATTAAATTTGAAGTCTTGATTTTTTTTAAAACCTCACCACGTCCAACAGGGCTTTTGACTGACACCCTACCATACAATTTGGAAATCTCTAGCATGGGATAAAAAAACAGAGAAAAGACTGAAAAGTACATTATCTCACTCAGGACGTAAGTCTGAATACAGGTCAGGATCCTGTACCCTTGCAAACTTAATTTAGATAATTAATTCATCAGTTTTGAAGATCACTTCACTTCTTTTCGCGCCTGTTGTTTCTATCTGTCAAACTCGCTTCTCCCCCTGACTTAACAGTAGTTATAATCTAGGTGACCTTTTCTCTTCTTACACAAACAAAAACAAAAAACAGACTGTTATAAGTGACCCCTGCGATTAAAGGACAACAAAATGTTTCTTACCATGAGAACACAAATCATGATGTGGTTGTCAAACTTAAAGTACTCAGAGTCCTCCACAGGTTGCCCAGTAATCTGAGCCAACAGGTAAAGCTGGAACAGAAAATAGAAGATAAGATAAGATAAGATAAGGTAAGACATGTCTTTATTGTCCAGATCCTGGCACATTGGTTTGGTGTATCACCACGTACACACATACACACACGCGCACACACACAAACACACACAGACACACAAACTTGCACACACAAGCATTGTGCTTGAACTCACAAACAGGTTTACACAGTCACATGCATAATATAAATGAACAGTAGGCCCTAATTTAAACATATAATGTTAAACTAGATACATACTCAGTATTCAGATTGAAACTCAGTATTCAGATTGTAACTCACTGGTATTCTGATGCATGCGAGGTAAATCCCTCTTCCTGAAACATTGGATGCTAGTAGAATAAAATACGTTTACCAGGTTTTTGATAGGGGACAGTTGGAATCAAGAGTGAGTGAATCACAATGTTGGAAAATATGCAGGTTTTGACTTTTACTTTAAAAAGAGTTTTTACGGCCCTCGCAACTGCATAAGGTCATATGAGCGCCAAGGGGTGGATGTCAACAGAGAAGTCTTTACAGAGAATCAGGCTTACTCTGCTCACCTCTCTAACTTCAACAGCACAAAGTCTACTTCGACTATCAAGGCACCCAGGAAATAGCGGGTCACAAGAGAGTGACAAACATACAAAAGAATTAGAGCAAAATGACGATAGTAAGGATTAGGAAAGAAAAAGCAGCAGTTCCCTGTTGAAGTTCACGCATAGTTATGAGCATGATATTGAATCAGCCCATTTACAATTCTAAGGCGCGTAAGAACATGTTCATTTCCCCCCTTTGGGAATGGCCTAAAGACATATCAGTCAGTAGCACCGCTGCGGGGGGTATTTTGACTTTAACTCATTACCTCTGGCAAGCCACTCCCAGCAGCTCGTGGTCGGAACAATGCACAGAAAAGATGGAGCAGAGATAAGGACAATAGATGTTTGACAGGAAAGAAGGAGCAGACACCCGTCCTGTACACAGTAGACAGATACTTGAACAAAAGCTCCTCTACATCCTCACCTCCTGCCACAAAAACAACACGTTGCTTCAGGTACCACTCTTAACTTCATGAGTAACTTCTTTTACTTTTAAGCTTCATAAAGAGAAGCACATCCACTTAACAGATATTTAGTGATGGGGAGAGCAACTTCATGAAGGTGATAGCTACGCTAGGTCTAGAGTGTCGCCAGTGGCCAGCAAGTGCAACTAATGCGGAAATTGTGGCCATCCTTGAGGAAAATCCAGTGATGGGTGATGTTGTCGTCTTCACCGACGGATCAGTGAGGCGTGGCCAGAAATCTGGGTGGGCGTTCAGTGCTCGAGTTGACGGGAAGATAATTAAAGAACAGTCTGGAGCCTACGAGTGCACTACATCGAGCATGGCAATGGAGGTCAAGGCAATAACAGAGGCGCTGGAATGGATCAGCATGGAAGCGTATAAATATGCCCTGTTTGTCACAGATTTGATGAGCACCCTAGAAAAAATCAGGAGTGGGTGGCTCTACAGTGACTGGAGAGCTTCCATTGCAAATAGCCACCTCCTAAGAATTACATGGGTGTTCTGCCCTGGTCACGCCGGGGTGCACGGAAATGAGCGTGCTGATGAACTTGCCGGCAAAGCAACAACCAATGGCCGAATCATGCTCGACACATCAATGGTGATCGCCAGATGCAAGGAGAGCCTTCACAACCAAGAGCAGAGACTCCCACACACTCAGCACAATAAAAGAAAAGTGTGTGCGGGGCACAGCGAAAAAAAATTTGCTCCGAGGAGTGGTCAGGCGTGTCTCAAACTAGCTCCTCATGGAGACAATTAGCAGGAAGACCCTGAGGTGGACGCTGGAAAGGAGAGATGAGCAGCTATGGACATGTGCCGCCTGCTATGATTCTAGCTCTGGATCCAGGTAAATCCAAGTAAGTGATGGGGAAAAAGTAAAACCTACATACAGAATCAGCAGATGGAAAGAAGAGATGTAGAACCTACCAATGGTGCCTTCCACCCACTCAATCAAGTATCTTGAAAGATGCAGGTGAAAATTACAACTGACTGTTAACTTGCCATTAGTAGAAAGCAATGGGGGGGGATTTTCCCTTTCGCCCTGATAATGCACTAGACATCTTAACGATACCAGAGGAAGGAAAACAATTAAGTAACTTATATTTTTAAAAAAGCAGGCAAAGCAAAATTCCTTGTCACCACTTATCATCCCTTAGACCCTGAGAAGTAAAGTTTCTCAATTATTCCATTTTGATCAGATGTTACTCTAGCATTTCTTTTTATCTGCATGATCCCTTTAGAAGATAACAGAATCACTTACACAACAACATGATAACCACTGCAAGTCATAGAAATAAAAAGACAGACAAAACAGGAGCAACATCTAGTTTTAATTCAGTTTTACCACACCTGCAATACAATTAGGTCATATAAGTGTAAAAGATTAGAGTTGTTACTATAGAGTTACATACAAAGAAAAGGAGGAGAGACACTGACTACAGATGTTTGATAGAAAAGAAGGATCAAACCCCACCAGAGCGCCTGCCGGCCCCCACAAGCAGAACCTAGCAGCCCAACCTCTCTCACTCACCCGCTGGATGAAGTAGAAGCCTCCGTACAAGGTATACAGAGGGTCCACCACACAGAAGATGTAGTGCAGTGTGATTGCCGTGTCTGCACTCTGGCCCACCAAGTCAACCATCAACACAACCACAAACGGAATCATCGAAGGCTGAAGAACAAACAGAAATTGCAGAAAAATTCGAAAATTGTATATTGTTAAGATATCAACCATCAACGCAACCACAAACGGAATCATCAGAGGCTGAAGAAGAAACAGAAATTGCAGAAAAGTTAGAAAACAGTATATATAGTTCTTTAACAATATTGTTGACATAAACAGGAATCCACTTTATATCTCTACATATCATCGGTGTCGCAAGCAATCCACTTAAGTCCATTTGGGTACTTTTTAATCAGGAAACAAAAAAAAAAAAGTAGTTTTTGCGGTGTTCTTCCTATCAATGATCATGAAAAGCAAGAAAATTGTAAACCTTGACCATAGCATTAAACTGCATTTTGGCAATGTTGAAAGGAGCATCTTTAGTAGAGCTTCGATAGGGGATAAAATTGTCTAAAATTATCTAAAATTCTCAAAATTTGGACTTAAGTGGATAGCTTGTTGCAGCGACAATGTGTTTTTACCATTCCTATTCGGCCAAGAAATATTTCCCACTGAAACACTAAAATATCATCTGATCTTATCTCATCTTATCTGAAACCAAAATCCGTTGGGCCACCACAATTTCTCTGGTTTAGCTGGGTTTTCTATAATTGGGTTGTTTAAATGGAGGAGAAAAAAATTGGGGATTTTATTTTCTTTAGTTTGCAACCATTTTAGGATGTTGTTATCGATCCAGCAACAGCTGGGCTCTCGTCCTTCTGTCCAATGCCATGTAGTGATAAGTGCAGGTTTGCTGCGGTTGCTGTAAAGTTCCATAGAGTGTGTTGTCAATGTTAGGTCTCGGAGGGAGAAGTGTGTTTACTTGGAGCAGTCTCTCTCTCTCTCTCTCTCTCTCTCTCTCTCTCTCTCTGGTGCTGTGGCTTCATAAACGGTCAGCGATGCCGACAGCACGCAGGAACTCAACACTCGCCCGGGGGTCCTTAGAAAGTGCTGAAAGTGGGTTACCGAAATGTCCCAGCAGATGGGTTCTAGCACGATAGCTGGTGGGACATCCCAGGAACAAATGGAGAAACGACAAGAAAGCACTGAGGTTGCGACATGGTGCAAATTGTTATGCTTCGAGACACTTTCACTCGCACTCATTCTCCAGCAAGCAATCAAAACAGAAATGTGTTTCTAAATGGACATGATAGGCTTTGAGCCTCCCAAAAAAATGAGATAAAAATTGTCGAACAGACTGAAAAATGTTGGTTAATTCTATTCAACTATTTACTTCCAGTACCCGATTTCACCACGATGCCCCACATATATATAAAACTTTTCCAAGGATTTAAGCAATCATGCGTCTAAGTTTATTCTCCTTCATTCTACACACAATCTATCCTGTTCAGGAACTCACTTGTCAAGCATGAATTTTCTCACCACAACATCAGCTTGATTTGCCCACAACACTTTTTAACTGAGCATGATTAAAGAGCTGTTGCTACTACATGAACTAGGCAGCCTTTAAAAGTGGGTGTGATTTCCCATAATTATGTACATAGACCTAAAGACGGCAAATAATACAAAAGTTTTCAAAGCCTAGAATAATACTTCTAATAGAAAGAGAGAGAGAGACAGAGAGAGAGAGAGAGAGAGAGAGAGAGAGGGAGAGGGAGAGAGGGAGAGGGAGAGAGAGAGAGAGAGAGAGAGAGAGAGAGAGAGAGAGAGAGAGAGAGAGATAATCACTGTAGGGTGATTGTGTTCTTTGTATTATTGTGAAGAGCATTTAGCACTTTCATATTATAAAAGGTCCCTGACATTAAGAAGCTATGTTGTAAGCTGATGATGGTAAAACCCACTGATAGTTTGAGGAGAAAGGGTCCTAAGTCAATGTTCCACAAAGACGATTAGTGAGGCGGACTGACAACATGAGTTACTTGTCCCACTCCACGAAAGTAGATATCAGAAAAATATACACCAACGGATTACGTTCGTAGATTTTTAACTGATGCCATTTACTTCAAGTTTAACAGTCATTAATTCTACATCTTAGTCAAGCTGCTTCCAGTGGCTCGCGGTCTTTATGATGACCTCCGCCATCAAATTACTTTTCGGCAATTGCTGAAAATAGGTCTCTTTTATTAGGAGTTCATTCAATAGATGAAAAACTATCAAAACAGGTTCACTTGTTTTCAATTAATGACTCATTTAATGACGATTTTGTCATTTTTAGGTTTCATATAAAAAAGTGGCACCGGTGTAGCGGGTTAACCTTTAACTCAACCTATAAATTGGATGTACCAATGTCCATACGGCTAAAATCCGAGAAGTAACTTATTTTGTCAGCATGCTTCATAAAATGTGGTAGCTCATTTTCATGGGGACAAGAAGAAGTTATAGATTTTATTTGTAGTCTTCACAAGTGGTGGTCACAACTCACGGTAGAGATCATGTGTGGGAGGTACGCGATGCATGTCTCCGTCTTGTCGAAGATGAAAGAGATAACCAGGCCTAGGACGATGTTGAAGGGAATGTTGGTGAGGAAGAGAAGGACGGCTGCTCCCATCGCACCAGGGCTGCTCAGGCCGTCCACCTGGACAGGGGGGAAACAAAAGTCGCAAATGTCACATATATAGCGTATCAAATAAATACATCAGCTTTTTTTCTTTCTATTTTTTCTTTTTGTCTCATGTCCTGGTCTTGGTGCCGATATTTGTAGGTTATGTAAAAATATGTTGACATTGCAACCTCAGTGCTTTCTTGTCGTATCTCCATTTTTTTTTTTTACAGTGAAAACGTTACTTCTTCTTAAGCTCACTCTTTGTTTTCACTGTTATTAAAAATGGAGATACTACAAGAAAGCACTGAGGTTGCGACATGGTGCAAATTGTTATGCTTCGAGACAAACAACCAAGAAAAAGGAGGAAATTGTTAAGTCTGTGATGATGATGATGATGATGATGATGATGATGATGATGATGATGATGATGATGAAGATGAGAGAGAGAGATGATTATGATGATACATAAACAGCTCTTCTCTTTGTATCAAAAACATGCATCAGCTTTAAGATTGATGTAGTAGTCCTCATCCTATTCTTCATCTTTAAGTTCTAGATCGAAACAGACATTAGTGACCATGACTGGCTTCTTATTTCTCTGCTCAGATGCAAAGTCTTATACAAACCAGTTTTGAGCACTGGAACAATTCTTTTTTTTACCATTTCCAATTTCTTAAGCCAGGAATCTTTTTTTCTTGAAAGAATGGAAAGAGGGTCTGCACAGTTTTCTAAAAATCACAATTCACCCTGTTTTCAAAGAAAGTGAGCCTGTGCATTGTTGTTTTTTAAACACAATTTATAGATGTGAAGTTTGAGGACTTTCTCCAGTTACCTGCATAGCCAAGGTGATGATGATGATGGAGAGTGAGGGGATGAGGTAGGAGATGAGATCCACCAGGTACATGGTGCCCCAGTACAGACCAAAGTCAATGCCTGAGATACGTAGCTGGCTCCGCAGCTTCAGCTGAAATGAGAGAGAAAAAAAAAAAACATCATAGAAAAACAGGAAGGGAAAACCTGTCAAAAACACATTGAAACATGAAAAAACTTAGTTTTAGTTTTAGTTTGAGTTGCATGCATAAAGCACAGAGAATAATGATCATATGCAGCATTGGGTAAAAGGTAAGAGAGACAGGAGTATAAGAAAGAGAGACCTAGCAGTCGCGCCCTTCAACCATTCTTGAAGAAAATAGGAACTGAAGACCTGTCAAAAATATGCTCGGTATAATGGTCAAAATATATGATGAGATATGAAATGTAAGAGTTTTAACTTTTTATCTCTGGCAAACAGCTCCCAAAGGCTCGCAGTCAGAAGCACTGTGCCGATGAGCCACTGGCTGCAGCTTGGGCACATTCCTTTAAGACAACTTCGATGTCAAAGTATGCCAAAAACAGGTCTCTTTTGCCTGGAGTTGTTTTTAAAGATGAAGAACTATCAAAATATGTTCATTTGTTTTGAAGTAATGACCATTATAGTGACGTATCACAAGGAGAAATAACCGTAAATATTAAATTACATGTAAAGGCTGAGACAGAGGTGGGATCAAAACTTTTGAAATATGCCATACATAAGATTAAAAAAGATGGAAAAATTGGTAAAATGTGACCCCAAAAAGTGAAAAGTGTTGCACGACACAAAATGTGGAGACTTTAGACTTTAGCATACAAGAGTTGGTAATTACAAGAAAAGAAATAGCAGAACAGACTATTGTAATATCCACACACAGATAGATATGTGTGATGTTTACATTGCCTATATCTGCTGTCTCTTTTCTTCTTCCTTGCACTCACACCAAGGAGGGACACAGTCATCTGTCCTCAGGGAAAAATAAAAACCACTCATGCTCGGCCGACATTTAAATCTTACCCTTTGAGCCCCATCCCTTAAGCTGACAGGACCTGGTCACCGTATACTAAAGTAAAGAAGTGTTAACGTAGCCATTACTCTAGTGTGATCTTGGGTACAAAGGGTTAACACGAAACTCAAAACAACTAAACAAAACAATCCAAGGCAGTCAGAGATCAGGCACAGAAGGGGAAAACATGACGAAAAACTTATAGCTCGAACCATAAAAAGAAGACTCAAAATTCAAAACCAGAAAATTAAAAGTAAAAAACTCTTACCTATCAACCAAAACTAAAACAATCCCCCCCCCCCCCTCCAAACTAAAAAAGAAAATTCAAACCATAAAAACCCATAAAGCCAAAACAAAACAGCAGAACCGACCTCTCGATCCTGAACAGCCTCTGATGCAAAGCCTGATATCACCAAGAGGAAAGCGAGGCCGATCATGAGTGTTGTGCCCATGGTGTTCCCGTTGTACACGACCGTCACCTTGAGCTGTGGCCAGGGGAGAGAACTTCCGTTGATGAGGTCGCTGGAGCCCGACATGTTCAGCAGACTCTGACTGGCCATGGAGATGACCGTCGGGATGGAGTGTAGGGCCGAGTCGTTGTAGAGCACCGCAAAGTTCATCAGAGACTGCCGACAAGACATTCAAAACTAAAGTCAAATGTTTTTTGCATCATGCACTGAGGCTCCACACTTTCTTCATTACCTGCTTTCCCCCATGTGATAATAATAATAAAAATAATTAAAATAAAAATAATAATAATAACAACAATAATAATCATCATCATTATTATCATAATAATAATGATTGTAACAAATAATAATATTGCAGATAATTTCTATAGGGCCTTCTTCCGTACATTACAGCCTTAGGTTCTTTACAATATCTTCATCTCATCTCAATACAAAACACAAGTGAATGAACGTGCATACATATGCTCTTTCGAAAAAGCTAACACATAAGCAAACATTCATTCTAACACAGCAAAATGGATAATGATAGGCACATCACATTATGAAACAAGCAATATCAAAAAGGACTTTCACAAAGTATGTTTTAAAAATAAATGTTTAATTTCCCCTCAGACTTCGTATCCTTCAAATGTTGTGAAAGAGAATTTGAAACACCAAGATGATCACGGCCTGCTGTCTAAGATTCCTGCAAGACATACCTGCTCACCCCCTCCCCCTCCCTCAAATGACCCTCCAACTGTTGCTCATTAAATCAAGCAGTCCAAGAAGGGGGGGGGGGTATATACTTTACTTTTACTCATTTCAGCAAAATTGACACTTCAATGCTCCCTACTTTCTGGTGTGCTCTTTTCTCTTTAATGCTAACCCAACAATCGACTGAAAAAAATCTAGAAATTTTCAGAGCTTGTAGAAACACCAGCACAAGGACAAAAAAATGTGTGGATTATTGGTGTATCTCGAATCTACATTGTTTTTGTATAACAACAGAATGGCCGGAAGTAATGCAGTAACCAAGGGGCAATTTCAGGAATCTGGCTGTCTGGATTTATCTGGAAAATTGGCACCTCTGAACACTGTTTTCACCCACTGGTAGGGTTTAAACAGATCTTTAACTTAGTACCCATATTGTAGTATGGTCACAATTTGACATATGTGTTATGGTGTGGTGGAATCAGGCACTCATCAATTTTTGGCCTTCCGAAGTTATTGGTATCATCTTAAAGTGTGTTTATTTGTCTAACTTTCAACGAAGAAAATACCCATTTATCTGGAACAGAAGTAGAGATATTGGTGATTGAAGGAGGTGGAGGTTGCCTGGTTTCAGAGGTAAAATTAGCGAGGAAATGGCCACTAAAGTTTAGTTAATTCCTTAGCTTGAGAGTCCATGGAAACTGAAAATTTACATTTTTTGTGCCTTTAATCAACGTTTTTCAATAGAGTTCACAAAGAGATGTGTTCTTTAATGGATATGAAAGGTGTTGAGCCAAAAAAAACAAAAATCGATAAAAATTTCCCAACCTGCGGTAAAAATGCCAGTTTTCTTCACTTTCATTATTTTGACGAGCGCTTGCTGCCTCACATATGATTTATTCAGTCTTGTTGCTACACAAACAACTAGAGAGGCTTACTAACCTGACCGGAAAGACGGTAAATTTGTTAACTACACAAATAACAAATGAGGCCAACTAACCAGACCAGACAGACGATTCCTTTGAAAACTACACAAACAAGTGAGGCTCACTAACCTGACCGGAAAGACGGCTCATCTGTAAACCAATCTGATGTGGAGCTACGTCCGAAGTATTCACAGAGCCTGTTTTGTAAGCATCAACCGACACACGCTGCTTAAAATTGTCCACCACAGCCTGGGAAGCTGCTGAACCTGAGTGAGATCAATGTGATAAACGAGAAATGGGTTTGGGCTTGAATCTTGAACCAATGGGGAAGTACAGTCTAAAAATAAGGGCAAAACACGATACAAAGTCAGCACTCTGATTTACACAAAACACTACACAAAGTCAGCAGTCTGAATTTTACAAAACACTATACAAAGTCAGAAATCCGATTTACACAAAAAAAACACTATACAAAGTAAAAACACAATACAAAGTAAAAACACTATACAAAGTCAATACACTGATTTGCCCAGAACAAGCGATTTAGATTTGGTCAAGTCACTCTCATTCAAGAGGTTTTGGTATGTGCCCATACAATAAACATAAATCTATTGAAAAAGCCCTAAGCAAGATTTCAAGCATCTTAACATGCAATTCTAACTCCACTGAAGTTGACTCCACTGAAGTTGACAAATCCTACTTTTCTATTGTTGTATAGTCCCTCCAAAGACAATGGATAATGCAATATCACAGGAGACACAAACAAACAAAAATGGTATTGTTATAAAGTTTTGCATAATATGTGAGGCAGTTTGGTGGAATCAGGCGCTCGTCAAAATAATGAAGTGAAGAAAGAGGCATTTTTCCACAGGTTTGGGAATTTTTATCGAATTTTTGTTTTTTAGCTCTACCCCTTCCATGTCCATGAAATAACACATTTCTGTGTGGATTGTACTGGAAAACGTCAATTAAAGGCATAAAAAGTGTAAATTCACTGTTTCCACGGACTCTCAAGCTAAGAAAATAACTAAGCTTTAGTGGTCGTTTTCTCGCTAATTTTACCCCTGAGACCAGGCGACCTCATTATTAATCAAGATGCATAAAACAAAAACAAAACAGAAACAAAGATAAAAAAATTGTTAGCCACTTACTGAATGAGTCAAAAACCAAGAAGTCTGGAAGGTTGCCATTGCCCGATACATTAGCATACAGACTTGGCTGCAGTAGTAGAGTGGTGGGAGTCTCCGGTGTTTGGTAGCTGTTGGACTTTGCCAGAACCAAGCCTCCTGTCACCAGACCGATGGGGAAAATCAACTGCCAGAACAAGGCCTTGCTGTTGCGTAGCATCAGGAGGAAACGAATCTGGAACAAGGACATTTGTGAGGCATCGTGGTGAAACCAGGAGCTCGTCAAAACAATGAAATCGAAGAAATCAGCATTTT